TCCTAGAGAGGTGTATATCCAGCTGCATCAATGCAGCATCCTGATTTCCGGCGACATTCAAGCCTTTGATCGATTTTTCCCTCTGTCTCATTATGCCAGCGGATACAGAGCGTATCGGTATCATCATCGTGGTCAGAACTGTCGTCAATTTTCAAACTTCCTTCGACTTATCTCGACTTACTTACATTGGTAGCGAAAGGTTTTTATTCGAAGAGGATTTTTTTATTCCTAATCCTCTTAATATTACCTGTGTGATTTTCTGTCGCTTTTCTCTAACTTAATTATAACTGTTCCCAAGAGAATAATTTTCTTTGATTTCTTTTAAAGTTGTTGAAGTATTATTTTTTATAGTTTCCCTAGTAGCTGCTACAATTCCTCTTTCGTTTTCCCTTGTCTTGAAATGACACTAAAATAATAATTTCCCTCATTCTTCCAATTCTTTATCTTTTTCTTAACTATATTTAATTACTTTTTATTTCCACGTCCATTTTTAAAGATGCAGTCGTATTTGATTAAAACGAAGCAATCGAAATTATTTCCCCGGTTTCCGGATGGCATGGTTAATACTTATTCATTTATTTCAGTTATTTCCAACGCGTAAACTTTGTAGTCATTTAAAAAAGAAGGGATAATAATAGTATCATAAAAGCCTTACGAGCGTACGACGTTTCGTTTAAAAATACTCTAGCACGGATTACGAGGTCTGTTCACGATCTGCGAGAAGATAAATCGGTTTTTCACGTGGCTCTTTTCTATTTTGAATTTTCTGTTCCTGTTCGTAAATTTCCACGGCCTGGCTGAAAGTGCGACTAGAACCGGCGGTTTCAATTTCCGGAAGTTTATCCGTCTGGACGTTGCATTTTCATCGCCCGTTTCGTTTTCATCGTGGAACACAAAGGGATTTATTCTCTGTTAGCATTGAATTTTATGGTACAGTAGCTACGCGATACCGAGAAACTTTTACGGGCAACGGAATCATCCATGCATTCAACGTATTGGATGCATTGGATCGTGAAGAACAAATCGTTGAACGATGAAGTTTGCCTCTCGAGTCGGACACCGTGGTTGTAAATTTCGAGTGGGACATGAAAGTTCTTTAGACCGGATCGATCGTAAATCAATTCATAAATAGAATAAAATAGGAATAGAGAAATATGTTGCGTGTAATAATTAATTATATTAATAGATATTTAATTGACATAATTTTCATTTTAATTTGAATCATCGTGAAGATGATGATGCTTCAAGCAGGCAAAGTATTTATGACGATCGTGTCGGTATCGTACTATAAAATAATTAAGTTACTGAAAACGTAAGAGGTGTGTTAGAATAAGTTATTACATTATAATTTAATTATAATCCAATATAATTGAGAAAAATATTAAGTCGTCTAATAAAAATGGAAATGGGACGTGGAAAATTATGATGGAAAAGCGCGAGATTTACGATGGAAACTGAGTGAAACAATTAAGGGTGCGGCCGCATTTTTTCATTCCCACGACACACACACACACACACACACACACACACACGCGCGCGCGCGCGCGCGCGCTTCTCATAATGACCACTCCCTTACGTGAGTAAATAAGCCCTCGCATACGATTAAACGTGATTTTGCATATTCTGGTTCTCAACGATTAGCGAACCGCTGCTTCGTACCTATTACCGATTATTACCGCCGTGCCTGCCGAGTTTTCTTAATTTCCTGGTTATTACATATTGACCAAAGGTTTGTTTGTAATTTTCCAGCGGACATAATTTGTCATATCAGCGTACTGAAAGACATTTTCCTTCGATAAATAATCGAGCTTAACGCACGCGGCTGTAAAAGGTGTAGTCTCGCGTTATGCACCATCAATATTGCTTAGATAACCTGTCGCGATTATGCGTTCGATTACTGTTACGTAAACATAATATAAGTTACATTAACTTTATCCAAGTCTTTCTCTAATGAGTTGCCAGGTATAATTTCATTGCTATTTAATTTTCTTCTTGCGACGATTTTTGTTATTTCGAAACTTTCGTTTCAATTTTGATATCGTATCTTGTGCATTTTGATTCACAAAAGCATTACACTCGAAATTTTTTCAATGATTAAAATTTTATTTTGGTTCAATATTATTTTTTCTTTTTTTTATAAAATTTGTTCTAATTCCTATTTTCATTGATCCATACGAACTGTTTTTTTTCTTTCTCTCGTTCTTCTTAAACTTTTTTTTTTTTTTTTTTTTTTTTTTTTTTTTTTTTTTTTTTTTTTTTTAATTTTTTTTTTTTTTTTTTTTTTTTTTTTAATTGATGTGAGAGAACGAAGTTAATTCGACTTTTTCTTTTTCGCGAGACGAAAAATCAACAGCCTTGAAATGCTTTCAGCTGATCGCGAAAGCTGCTGAGATCGCGCCGGAAATAAAACGTTCACAACGAATGCACTGTGCAAACATAGCTACTCTGCAATAATATTTGCTCGTCGAACGATATGTCTAATGAAATAAGAAATATATTGGCACGTGAAAAGATCGTCCGTTATAGAAATCATGAAACGACTATACAAACTAAACAATAGAATTTTATTGAAAACTAAATAAGACGCGTACGAATCTTCTAGAATAAAATAAATGAAATTTGATCGCTTGTTTAAAATGAAAATGTATTTCTTTCGGTTTCTTTTTGACAAAAGATCCCAAATTTTTCCATTAATCGATATTACTCTGCTGTATATATTTTACAAATAAATCACGAAAACCACAGTCTGCGTGAAAGAAATAAAAGCTGAACGTTTGTTTCCGAAAAAAGAACCCATAGGAAGGTTTTACATTATCAGGGATTAGTCTCACGTTAGTTTCGCGTTATTTTCTTTCATCGTTATCAATGTCGACCAGCTGTTATATAGTTGGTCTAGCAAAAGAATTATTAAAATCATCCTTGTTAATTACAGTCTCAATGTTCTGCCGCGTAAAAACATCGTAAATTAGTCCGTTCATTAGCAGGCAAAAGCGACATTCAGCTCCTCTCCGAGTAAAACAACCCTGCCTGTTGCTCGATTTTCTCAGATCCAGCGAATCTTTAATATCGTTCCACGCCGCATGCGAACCAGTTTAACACCGTCTTTCTAGTTTTTCCTCTCTTCGACTTCGGTTTATCTTCTCTGCCAAGGGGAATCCTTGCAACGAGCATCGTTCCCCTTAGTTCGATCTTCGTCTGGTCGACGAGCGATATCCAAAACAAGATATTCAAACATTTATTTGCAGGATATCTCGAGTATCGTAATTTAAATCTCCTCGAGTTTCTGCCTTCTTCCCTCTCGTTTCGTCTCGTTCTTCTCTCTCTTGCTAGATCGTTCACCGAATGATCATTATTTTATGCAACCTTGAATACTGCTAATGATCCTGTTACTCGATGCTCGATTTACCTTGGCTCGCGAAAGTATTTAAATGCTTGTGGAAATGCTTGAAATTTCATTAGTTAATCTGAACCATTCATTAACAATGCGATACGATTATGATTATATTGGTAGAATTTACGACGATGTATACCTACAGATTTTTGGGAAAATCATTCAGAATATTTTTCGTCAATTATACAATTATTGATTGTGTTACTATAACAATATTTAACGAGACTATCACTATTCACTGTATTTAATATCGACGTATTGTATACTAATTTCTTATTAACTCTCTAACTTTTAATTTCTTAAGAAATTACTTTTTTTAGTTTCAAATTAAACACTCGTCTTTCATTGCGGAGTGTTGACGAAATGAATTCTCAGTGGTAAGTGTACGAATATTTTCACGAGCCATTGCGATCAATGTTTATATCGATTCATAGCAAACAAGATGTTATCAACTTTCTGTGAAAATCCTTTTCTTTATTATGTGCTTCTATGCGATCGTTCATTATACCTGGCTGCTTTTGTGCCAAGCCTCTCTTCCATTGTACACGGTCTTCTTTCAATTTCCATTGTCCACCGTCTCGATACTTTCCCTCTTTCGAGTTTTGTCCCCAGCCTGCAATTGCTCGGTTTTCCTTCGAGACTAATTGCTCCCTTTGTCGCGTTCCTTTTCAAGAAATTTATTCCTCCTCCCTCGTTCCATTCAGCTCCCTTCAATTTCTCAATTTCGGTTCGAGAGTCTTGGAGGACTTGTTAAAAAAATATATGTTCGGAATATTTGTCGACAAGAGAATTTTGTGGGATAACTACGAATCGCTAATTTCTGTATATTGGCCATCATTGTAATTAATTTGAAAAATCTCTTTAACATTTAGTAATGAAAATTCCTTTTCACATTCAGAATCACATTCTCTATCGAGGTATGTTGAAAGATTTGTAAGCCAGAAAAAAGCCATCTCTTGAAAGAAATTCCCACTGTATAGAAATAGTCATCATTGCAACAATTAAACACCTTAATTTTATGCGTTTATGAGAGATTAAAAAAATGCAAAAATATATAAAATACGAGTAATGTTAGAGTATAAAGATATATTTAGTAGCGAAAAGAAATTTCTGTTTGGACTCCATTCTTTCAAAATTATAACTGCATGTTCTAATTAAAATTCTAAAAATACATAAAATGTCGAAAGCAAAGTACTTCTTACAAGATTTCACATTTCACAGAGTTGAAAAACAAATCTCTCTTCTCTGAGAAGAGTCTGAGCTTCTTCATTCATTGCAACAGTTCTACAGAAACTGCACGTACATCTCAAAACTCTGGTTGAATAAATAGCCGCAGCTCGCCAAGCGCTGTTCACGCCAGCGAGCCGTTTCATTCTCACTGCCATATCGATTTTACCTTTCGACAATGTCTACGGTTCGCCTATCGAACAGCTCCATTCGCCAGCCGCGAAATCAGATAGCATTGAGAGGGGAAACGACGTCGTCGTCGTCGTCGTCGCGTCATGGCGCATCGCGTTTCTCGCGATTGAACGGTCCCGCCACCGCGAGACGCGACTGTTTCCCGTTAAGTTGGCCGGGTTTAATAAGATTTCCTTTTGATCGGTTGCAGGGACGAGGCGTAGGATGGGCCCGACCGCGCGAACAGTCGTGCTACACTGAAGAGGAGGAGCTCCCCTGAAGAAGAGAGAGAAGGAGGAAGAAACGGAAGGATGCCTGCCTCGCAGACCGCCGCCACGGAGCGGCGAAACGAGAGGATGGTGAGTGTATATATCCTTTCTTTGGCCCTCACGTTGTCACGCCTTTCGTTTCCGCAGGAAACGACCGACAGAAGACGGTTAGGGGGTAGCCAGACGACGAATGCCTTAGGAAACGACGCTCCATTTTCTCAGTGGGCGCGCGAACGAAACGTGGTCCGAGCGTTTTTGCACGTGTTTCGAACTGTTGTACATTTACACGGACGATCGAGCTTGTTTTTGTTGGCGTTTGTCTAAAGGAATTGAAAAGTTTATCGGATTTGTGAAAAATTGACTAAAGTGGCAGGACAATTTGACGAACCTAAAAATTACGAATACTTTGGATGGCTAGTGAAACAAAAGTACATATTTGATCGACATTTTGTGGTTTATTTCAACACATTATGAACAATAAGAAGCAACAAAAGAGAAAAAGAGAGGGCTCTCATTTAACTTTTTAACGGCATCGTTTTACATTACCTAAAGGCAAAAAAAAAAGTTCAAAAGTAAACAATATTCTCTAGGGATTGACGATCCAACATTTTCTATTTCTGTCTTCATCAAGTCGCGATACTTCCCCCTATCTTCACGGATCAATGACTCATTATGATCCACCCTTTCTTTAAATGACGATCGTTGCACTTCCGCGTATTAGGCTGCGCCCTCTTCAAAAAAACTCCCGTAGCAAGCAAGTTTCAAGCGTGTTTCTCGCTCGAGAAGCATTCGTCATCGATTTTAAATTAGTTTTATAAATTTCTGTTCAAAACAAGTGTGTACAAAGTGTACACGAAATATAATTTAACGTACGTTTTATTTTCAGATCACACACGAGCCGCCAAAATTAAAAACGACCCTTAAAACGCCACCCAAGCAAGCGACCAATCCTCTTCAGTTCGTCAAAGTAGGACCGTGCTCTTTGTACCGCACAGCTCAAGAGCAGTTGCAAAAGGTCCAGGAGGTGAAGAAGATAAAACAAGAAGTTCGCGATGATCCCGAAGATTGGCAATCGGTAAATTAATTTCTAATAATTAATAATTGGAAACAGTGTACAATCAGATGGGTGATTGTAGCAAAAAATATTTAACCTCTTGCGCTGGAATGACCCATTGTCCCAAAATTGCAATATTTTTCTCAGTTTTCATTAAATATATTTCAGTATAATCCAGGCAAAACAAATAATAAATTTATTAAATTACTTTTCAATAATTTCTATCCAGTGATAGAAACCATACCGACGAGTTCAAAAGAAAAAGAAAGCGATGAATTGTTGTATACGGTTTGGTCATTCGTTATGGTCCGCAATCAGTTGCCAGCGCAAGTGGTTAAGAAAAAACTAGAATACTTTCGTCAGCTGGTGCGCGCCAAAAAGTTAAACAAATCATCAACGGAAAAGAAAATGGTTCAGTTATCTCTGCGTGAAAGTTTGTTGGAGATTTTCCAACCGATCTCCGATTGTTAAATTGTTCTTTTCCTGGTGTGTTTAGAATCTGGACAATTGGAAGAGTAGTCGGAGGAAGCGTCAGGAGCATATCATCGAGCGGGTGGTCGAGGTAAAGAAACTCGAGCTGGAGGAACACGATCGGCAGCGTCGTCGAAGCAAGACATTCTCGGAAATGATGGAAGAGAGAGGCAACAGGGGTCGAAAACTAAGCATCAGCCTGGCCATGTATCACGAGGAAGATGCCAATGATCTGAGCGATCTTGGTATTGGAACCAGCAGCGGAAAGAGCTCGGTTAGCGGCGACACGCATGACGACACGCACAGTGTCTTGGTAAGCTTCGTATTTCCATCGATATCACGTTGTAGAATTCATCGTGTTTCTTCATTTTGTAATACCCGAAACTCAAACTCGAAAAATTAGGGAGCAAATAGAACGTGTAGAAATTATCGTTCGATTCGAAAAGTTGCAGAAGATATATTCAGTTCCTTTTGACATAACAAAATTAATTCTTTCTCTCGACTAAAGACAATTTCTCTTGAAAAAAAAAAAAAAAACGACTCGACGAACATTTTTCAGAGCGACAGAGACAGCGAAATAGAGAAGAATCACTCAGACGTGGACAACGTGGCGAGTGAGAGCGTGATCCACAACGATATCACGACATCGTCGGCGACCACGACGGCGACAACGACAACGACGACGAAGAAACCGTTCGGGAACGGGTTTCACAGTAGCAATCACAGTCACAACAATCAAGAGTACGATTCAGCGACCACGGCGACCACCAGCTCCCCGGAACCGGAAGAGTACACGTACGAGGGTGCGATTCGCGGCTACGTGTCACGAGTATCGCAAAACATACCGAGGCGATCGCTGGTCAACCTGGACTCGAAGCTCGACAGCGCCAAGTCGTCGGCGAACGGTTCGAAGACTAGCCTGAACGACGAGGCCAAGTCCACGATACCAGTGGTGAAAGTGGATATCCTGAAGAGGCGAGAGATCTTCGAGAAAGCCTCGCAGAAGAGCAACGAAAGCAAGACGAACAACAGGCTCTCCGGGGATTTCACCGGCACGAAGTCGATCAAGGAACGATTGTCGAATTTGGAGAAGCAGAAGCACGAGGCGGAGAACAACACGGAGAAGACCGGGACTAAAGCGTTGAACAGACTGTCCGGCGACATGAGCTCGATCCGCGAGAGATTGTCTCATTTGGAGAAGCAGGCGTCGGAGAGGGAGAGCAAGAATTGCGCGCACCGCAAGCTCAGCACCGACGAACTGGAGACGGTCAGACCGCTGCGGGACAGATTGTCCACGTTGGAGAAGTACAGCAGCAGCGACGAGTCGTCGGCACTCGGCAGCGCAGCGCACGAGTCGCGACACAACGGCGAGCTGTCCGCCAGATCGATAAAGGATCGTTTGAGCGCTTTGGACACGGCCAGGAGCAAAGAATCCGCCGACAAGAGATCGTCCTCCGTTGTTGGTAAGCACTCGCTGTGCTTCCGGGACCAGGAGAACCGAATCGACACGTCGACACCCAGCGAGAGAAGCTCGTCGCCCGACTCGGAGTATCGCGTGCCGAGAGCCGCCTTCCACAGAAGTCTGGACTCTCTGGACGCTGACGCATCCAGCGGTCCCGACACGTTCGAGAGGGTGCAAAGTTTGGAAGAGTTGGATTACGGTAGACGTTACCCGGCGTCGTCGTCGTCCGCCGAACTGCTGAACGATACCGATCGCGAGGATTCCGGAATCCACACGGCCGACGTTAGCTGCTCTGTTAGTCAAGCCGACGAACCGGTCGACGAGGACATGGTGCATGCCAGCACGATCATCGAGCGGCAAGAGGTGATCGAGGAGAAGCCGGAGGAGCCTCGTGACGTCGAGACGGTGAACGAAACCGTTATCGTTGAACAGCAGAGCGCCACCAACGTATCCGCGAACGAGATCACGACGACTTCTGCCAGCCAATCGGACGCAGTAGTAGCAAAGAAGGTAAGGCGTAACGACGGTGTTGCATGGCGGTTTCTCTACTGGGTAAATCTACTTTTAGTTGTCGTTATATCTACTTGGCTGGCCTATGTAAAAGTGAGAGTCTATTGAATGGGGTACAAGTTGAGTTTGCTTGTCGTTCGCGGAATTTATTTTCTATGGTACGGTACCAAGAGTATCGAGCAATCGCGTATGAATGTCAAAATCGAGTATTCGAGTCGACTTGAGTTTGTGAAGGACGATCGTCAAGTAACATCCGAGTCGAGAAAAACGTCTATTGAAAAAATATCGGAACGTCGCTTATATATAGATTGCGAATTCGAAAATACCAAATTCATATTCCAGTTTCTTCGACATGAAAGTTTGAGCTGGCGTGCGCGTATAATTCAGTTCAACTCGGTTGAATCTATTCGATTGGTATTGAATTGATCACAATTGCGAGAGCTGTTACTTGACGACCGTGCCTGAAGCATACTTTTTTTTTAACAATCGCGATATCTTTGACTGATAACCTACTATTCTTGTTGTTTGGTAACGGGATGGCAGGTAGTACGATCTATCCGATAACTCTTTGGTTCTCTAGGGTACTGCTGACACTTCTGGGGAACTGTCGACTAACAAATCACAATCGCAGGCACACATAGAGGTTACTAACTCTAGTACACTACGTTCCTGTCCTGCCACGAGTCGTCCGATCGTGTATCAAAGTCCCAAAGTACCTCCGCGGCGATCGCCTCCCGACACGCTTCCCAAACCAAAGTTGCCTGCGTCCAAAGAGCATCTAGACACTAAAACAGACTCTCTGCCCGCCAAAGAATCGAATTCCATCCCCTCGAGTAACAAACTCCCCGCGGACGAACAGAATTCGAAACTCGCTCTCGACGAGAAGGCGCGTATCATCTCGAAAGGGGACTCGACCAAAGTTACAGTTACCTCGTCTTCAGTATCGTCGTTAGATCCTGCCGTCGCAGACGGTCATCCATCGTCACCAGCCAGAGCGGCAGTCGCTCCGACGAACCTTCAACTAGAGTCTAACGCTACCTCAACCTCGAACTGCGCCGCGAAAGAAGTGGCAAAGACCACGACGCCGGTCACGTCACCGCGTACACCATCCAAGATTCCCACTCCGCTCCCTCGGAAGACCGTAGGCGTTAAATCGTCGCCTACGAGCTCCGTGTCCTCTCCGAGTAGCCCCCCTGTCTCGCCGTCGTCCCCCAAAACCCCGTTGCTAAAATTTAGACCGTCGAACGTTAAGAGTCCAATCGGTCAGACGTCATCTCCGCAATTTCCAAAAGCATCGGAGATACCGATTCCCGTCGGTTCCAACGTGTCGTGCAGCGCGAGCATCGTCATCCCCGTGTCATCACCCTCCTCGAGTCTCGAACAGTCATCACCATCATCGTCATCACCCCTCAGCGCGAAACATATCTCCTCCCCGACGTTCAGCACGAAACACCAGGTGACGGTGGGCGAAGAGACACTGCTGCCTGCGGAAAGACGGCGAACGGTGGTGGAGATTTGCGAAAAGGTGGTGGTACCTCAGGGCAAGACACCTACGACGCCCCCAGTGACGCCATTCATCACCGTGGATCGCGTCAGTGAGAAGCAGAGCGCAGCGACCGAGGTTAGGATCGATCAGCAATCTAGCAGCCACTGCTCGAGAAAGTCTTAAAAAAAAAAAGAAAAGAAAAAAAACAGAAACGGGCCAATTAGAGGATGATCCGTTCGTCTCTTTGGCTATCCTCGCGTAGCAACATTGCCTCTCTCTATCTGTCTCTTGCTCTCTTTCGCCCTTGTCGTTAGACTTAGCTCTTCGTCTAACTTCCATTTAGATCTTGTACATAAGAGTAATCGGGGCTTTAGAATCGCGGGCGTCCAAGTGGCAGGGAATCGCTGCCCCGTCGTTTCGTCGAGACGATCGAACGAGGAAACGAGCGGATGGCACGGGATTGCACGGGAATTAGCCTCGGAGCATAAAACAGCAAAAAGGAGATTCTAACGATTTTCACGAGCCTACGCAGAGTGTCTTTGTGAATGACACGAAAAAGTAAATCGAGAGGAGAGAATAAAATTTTTTCATTTAATCTTTTGCGCTGGAATGACGTGCCACGCACGTTGAGAATTTTTTATCGCAAAATTGCAACATTGCCTCAGTTTTAAGTATATTTAAGTATAATCCAGGCAAAGTAAATAATAAATTTATTACACCTCAATAATTTCTATCCAGTGGTATATATATATCATACCGACGAGTTCAAAAGAGAAAAGAAGCGACGAATTATTTGTCACTCGTTATGGTCCGCAATCAGTTGCCAGCGCAAGTGACTAAACCATCGTTTGTTTCAGTTCACTGATCGATTAATTTTCAAATTTGATTTTCTCTAAAGAAAAAGAGCTTCTTTATTTATTTTCACACGCAGAATAATCTAGTCTAAATAAACTTTCAGATTTTTAAATGAAAAAATTATATTCTTTTTTTTCTTCAATTTACATTCAGACCTCGGTCGAGACATTCTGCATATCGTAGCTAGTTAAACAGTAACAATTCCATTATCGTGCCTCGATCGTTTCTATGGTAACTATATCACATGTAATACGTATTCCAATATACATATAGCTCCGCGAACGCGAAGCGAGTAATCACCTAAAAGCGACTGAAGCTGAGAAACTGAATATTCGCGTCCGATATTAACGAAAATGAGGAAACTGAATCTTGCCACTTGGAACGCTCGGATAATAATATTAACCCGTCTTCGCTTCCACACGTATTTATTATCCGCCATTACGCACAAAAATCTCGCTGGAAACGAAGGCGTGAGACCCTATAGCTAACGATGTAAATAGACGACGCAGGAGCAAAGCGTACATAATAACCCCCAGTATCGAGTAGAATTAGAATCAGGTAGTCGGAAATACACGTACTATACGCCGGAAGTAAACCCATGTACCAGTTCTAACGAGCGTCGATAATCGAGCGGAAAACGTAGTGGCCTAATCGAACAGGGAACACATTTTTTTTTTTTTTTTTTTTTTTGACCTGAACAATATGTCTGAACGCCGTAAAAATCCTAGGATTACACCCTAAGTGATAAGAACATTTTTCGTGTGACTTTGCAACAATACCGACGATGTCCTTCGTGTTATTATTAAGCTGCATCGTATTATCGGCTGTCACGAAAAGGCGAAGGAAACGTCCGATGGATGAAAACCAAAATCGCCAATATAAATACATATCCGTCGGTCGTTCTCTGAAAATTACTCCGATAAGCTTATTATTCTGCTAAGGACTTCGTTTTAGATTAACTTGTAACCGACCTTGAAACAAACGACCTGTCGACACTTGACTATATATAGTGGATAACGATCGATTGTAACGCTTGGATGAGGCGTATGCGGTTAAACGAAATACGAAAATATCAGTGGACAGGGAGACGCGTCGTGAATATTTGGTATCATATCCAGTGAGGATTTTGAAGCACGAACGAATCGAAGTTGCGAACGTTTGAAGCGTCTCTTTTTAAATTATCTCGAATGTATCTGGAAGATCTTTGAGGATAGATGGATTCGTTTCTGCTTCGGAAGTATCTTGATTTCGCTTCGACACGAATAACGCGAGATAATCGTTATCGAATGCCTTTCGACGAGAACACGGTACACTGCCGCAAGATCGATATCGAATTTAAGGTTGCATCGCACGTACACACACACACACCGATTGAGTGTTCTCTATCATATTGTCTGAACTGTTCGAGATTAAAAAGAAAAAAAAAAAAAAAAAAAAAAAAAAAAACGATGGAAATTCTGCTGAGTATATTCGAAACGCCTGAATCGCAAATAAAGGGGAAACAGTATAAATTTTCAAACTGTCTTCCACTGATTTCGTCCACGAAAAACAACAAACCCAGTCGTCGTGAATTTCGATCGGGAGAGCCATTTTTTTTTTTCCATTGGTTCGCCAACGAGGGACGACGAGAACGAACTGGTCGATGGGAAATTGTCTTATCGTCTTCAGTGATATACGCGTCATCGGTGAGACAACGACGCGGACCTCGGCGTGCAGTCGCAATCAAGCGACGAAATTTATTCGTCCTCGTGAACCGTGGGTCGAAGATCGGTCAGAGTGATGTTTAATTATGTGACGAAAGACGTTCGTTACCGACCCACGCCGCGATAAAAGTGTCCTGAATTGTTACGGAATTAATCGTTTTAACTGTATCTCGAGTCGCCGCGCGTTCTTCGTTCTGTCGCGACGTTCATTTCGGAGGTAAGAGCTCGTGTGTCGTTTCGTCCGATGAAAATTAATGTTTCCATCGGCGAGAAAGTTTTTTTGAATTTTTCTTTTTCCTTTTTTCCTTTTTGTTGAGCAAATGCCCTTGGTTTGCCCCCATCCATGCACCGTTTTTCAGCGATTAACACGTTGAAATTTGGAATTACACATTCCTTTTTTTTTTTTTTTTTTTT